ACTGCATACGGTGTTGAAATTAAGTCTTTTCTTTCTAGTTTGAGGTTTTCTTTCAGTTCCATCCTCATTTTCTGATTGGTGGTGCTCTCAGTGCACTCATTTCCAGAGGTGGGACCAAGTCATTGTTTGCAAGTCTCAAGTAAGTCTCAAGTCTTTATCCTCAAGTCTCAAGTCAAGTCTCAAGTAATGTCAGGCAAGTCAGAGTCGAGTCTCAAGTCACTGGTGTAAAAGTCCGAGTCAAGTCACAAGTCTGACATTTTGAATTTCAGGTCCTTTCCAGTCTTTAAAAAAAACAAACGAAAAAAGCATGTTGCAGTTATGCTAAATGTAAATATTAGACCATGTAATTTTAAATCTGTGTTTTTTTCAACACATGACAAAATAGTGAACTTAGAAAATATACACAAATTGTGAAATTGCACCTCTATAAAATGCAGCTCAATTAAACCTAGCTCCAAGAATAATTTTCACCGACAGTTCTGAGATAAGCTGCATGTTATTCTTGGATGCGGTTGTAACTTCAGGTCACTGCAACAAGCCCAGGTACAGTTTGCCGACGGATGGGTGCAGGACCTTGAAATGCACCGTGTAGAACGAAAGACCATCGTACGTATCATAAGTTTACCAGTCTCACAAATCGTCGTCATAAATACACATTCGTTAACCGTTTATTAATAGGACCTTGAGCTCAACGGTAGTTAATTAGCAGTGGAAATAATTTCTGGTACCCATCACAGAAATGTAGCAGTGACAATAATACTGTATGCTGTAATCGTACTGGGCAATTAGTGATACAAAACAACTGTTTTATCCTGTGAATAAAAGTATATGTTTTGTCAATGTACCATAATAACAGAAGCGAAACGCAATATTGTGTCAGGATAATTTACTATTTATGCACAATAAATAAAGGAGCATAGCGCGACAATTTCTGTTCAGCGCCAGACTTGCTTGTAACCTATATCACTAAGAAAAATGACGTATTAACTACAACAGCAGACTGACCTTCGTGTAAATGCTTGGAGCAGACTAACATGTGAGCTGGAGGTTCTGGGACGTTATATTTGATCTTTGAATGGCTGCAATCCAGGCCATCCGTCGCGTCTTTGTTACTTCGGAAACATGGCTCGAACAATTTCTCTTCAACGACGTAATCCGATAACAACCGATCTCTTTACCCGTCGGCTTCCCGTGGCTGTCATGCGACCGGCTATTGCAGTTAATAATACAACGGCTTCTTGCCATTTTTTGTGTTTCTTTTTTATCGCTGTGATTTCAATTGAAAGCCTGCGTGCGCTAGTACCTCTTGCCACGATTCCCAGAATCCTTTGCGGTTTTACCCCTGAATGACGTCACATTTTCAATCTCTATATAATATGCATGTTAAATTTTATATTTGGGGTAAAATATCAAGTCTTTTCAAGTAAACCGGTTCAAGTCCAATTCAAGTCCCAAGTCATTGGTGTAAAAGTCCAAGTCAAGTCACAAGTCTTAGAACATTTTTTCAAGTCAAGTCTAAAGTCATAAAATTAATGACTCGAGTCTGACTCGAGTCCAAGTCATGTGACTCGAGTCCACACCTCTGCTCATTTCACTTCCTCTTCCTGTTGAAGTGCAACCTGGTGCATATTGTATCTGTACTAGATTTCTAGATATCTTACCATTACCAAATTCCATGTATTTGTCATGTTCAACTTGACTAATTTATTTATATAAAACTATTTGTTTCTATTTGTTTGATTCATCTCTCAACACAAAGTAATACAACACAGAACTAACTAAATCAAACCATAATGACTACTAAAATCTACAACAAATGAAGAGTCTACACAAAATGGAATATACAAAAGATCACAAAAGATCAGAGTCTAATAACAAGTCTATACAATTAAGCAAAATAACCTATAAAACACTTGACAGTAACAAAATTTGAAAATGCATAACACAGTCAATAACCTAAACTAAATCAAAGTCAAAGTCAAAGTCAACTTTATTTGTCGATTCTTCCACATGTACAGGACATACAGAGAATAGAAATTGCGTTACTCTCAATCCCTAGATAAATAGCAAATGAACATTTAAATATATTTAAATATAAAGTGATTAAAAATGCAAGTAAAATAATTAAAAAGTAAAAATTTAAATAAATACAATTTACATATAACAAGAAAGCTATACAATATACAATATAATGGGTAAGTGACATTGAGTGTAAACCAGGCAGAGTAGTGCAAATAGGCAAATAGTGCAAATGGAGATTTAGTAGTGTACGGTAAGAGAAAGTGTAACAACAAAGTCTTGTGAGGTAATGGCAGTCCAATGCTCCACAAAGTGACTGGTAACTGGTGCAGGCCAGTGAGTGAGTCAGAGAGTGTGTGTGTTTGTGTGTGTGTGACAGAGTTCAGTGAGACCGTGGAGGAGAGAGGGGAGAGGGGGCAGAATCGGGAGGGAGTTGAGCTTCCTGACAGCCTGATGGATGAAGCTGTCCTTCAGCCTGCTGGTCCTGGCCTGGAGACTCCGCAGTCTCCTCCCTGACGGCAGCAGCTTGAAGAAGCTTTGCATTGGGTGCGTGGGATCAGCCGCTATGCAAAGGGCTTTTTTTAGTGAGACGGGTGCTGTAAATGTCCTGGAGGGAGGGAGAGAGACACCAATGATCCTCTCTGCAGCTCTCACTATGCGTTGGAGGGTTCTATGACAGGACGCATTGCAGGCTCCAAACCACACAGTGATGCAGCTCGACAGGATGCTCTCGATGATGATTAGCAAAGATGATGATTAGCAAAGAAATACAGAAACTCAACTGTAAGGATAACCTAAAAGGTAGGACTTCAATGAATAAGCAAACTCCATCCTGAAAGGTTATATCTTACATAATAATACATAACAAAAGAGCTGCAAAGGAACAAAACCTGAACTTAAAACGTCTTGATACATGCTTAACCCTAGAACACTATCGCTGGGTGATTTACACCCGAGAAAATACATTTACATGATTTCTCTCTCCTGAAGCTGTTTGCGTGTCGAGGAGCCTGTGCCATCACCAGGGAAGTCTCAAATGTCCCAGGAATGGGTGGACCAAAGACCAGTTTCCATTATTTTGTTTTAGGAGTTTTATTTTTCATTTTGTTAGACATGGCACAGTTGAAAGTAAAGAAGACCACTCTAATTTGTCATGTGTTGTCATATTTTGATATATTGATTACTTTTCATTGGTTATATTATACCGGGTATAAATCACCCGGCATTAGTGATCGTGTTACTATTTATAGCGATAGTGTTCTAGGGTTAATCATCTAGGAAATCACAAAAAGGTTACAGTAAACCTACGGATACAGATCAGTATTTAAGGTTTGACTCTCATCATCCTCTGGGGTACAAACTGGGTGTCATCAAGATCCTACAACACAGAGCGAACATCATCCCCACAGACACAGTGGCCAGGGAGGCAGAAGAACATCACTTCAAGAAGGCCCTGAGTAAATGTGGTTATCCCAGCTGGACTTTTGTCAAAGGCACCTAAGGAAAGCTCCAGCCGATCCAGGAGAGAAGGAAAACTGCTGCCTAAGGGAAAACCTGTAGTGATCCCGTATGTGTCAGGGTATGCATATACATATATGTTCACCCTGACCGGGATAGGGTTACCGGGCCTGCTTTGGAGCCAGGCCTGGGGAGGGTGGCCAAGGGGCCCGGCCGGGCACACCCAGACGAAGGGACATGGGCCCATCTTCCTGCAGGCCCACCACCCGCAAGAGGCACCATAGGTTAGGTGCACTGTGAGCTGGGCGGTGGACAGGAGCGGAGGTCCTGGCAGACTGATCCCCGGCTACCAAGACTGACAATTGGTCATGGAATGTCACCTCTCTGGTAGGGAAGGAGCCTGAGTTAGTGCGTGAGGTTGAGCGGTCCCGGCTAGATATAGTCGGGCTCACCTCAACGCAGGCTTGGGCTGGAGTTTCCCCTCGTTAGAGGTGGTGGGCTGGGGTGGGTATCCTGGTATCCCTGGTATTCTCATAATAGTTAAATTATTTTCATATTTCTTATATCTATTTTCAAATTTTTATTTGATATCTTGGAAAGTTTCTATACAATCTATTTCCTTTTTACAGGCATTTTACAATCTTTTTTTTACATTCACAACACTTGTTTGGCTGGACAATTTTTGTCATTTTTAAAAACTACTTAAAGAAATGTATCATGTGCTTTATTAACATTGTTTTTAGTCCTGTTCCAAAAGTAATTTCAATCCATCCATTCACAGATGATCTGCATCCCCAGACAGGAAGCAGCCTTGAATTCCTGCCACAAAAGAGTGAGTTACACTGATCTCTGTTAGCCTGAAGTTAAATATATGTAAATTTATAATAGTAATCTATTTGTGCACTCTGTTAGAACTAAAACCTCTGGATTTAAACCTCACTGAAACAAAGGGAATCACTCTTCAGTATGCTGCATGTCTGTGTTTAGCTACCTTTTCTACATCTATGTTTCCCACAGTGTCTGACCTGAGGGTTGTTCTGCTGGGAAACAGCTGGAGTGAGAAAAATGAAGTGGGAAATCTGTTACTGAGAGATACTGTGTTCACCAGTAAAACTAAATCATGTTTGAGAATTAGTGGTACACTAGAGGGCCAAAAAATTGCTATCATTAACACCCCCTACCTGCCTCCTCTCGAAACCTCCCAAAATGATCTGACAGAGTTTATAAGAGACTGTGCAAAACACTCTTCTCCTGGACCTCATGTCTTCCTGCTGCTTGTACAGCCTGAAAAATTTACAGAAAAACACAAACTGAGACTCTACAGAGTCCTTCAAGGCTACAGTGATCGATCATTTGATCATTCACTGATACTGACTTCAGCACCCAAAGAGGAGAACTTAGATCCTTTGGAAGACTTCATGAGAAGTCCAGAATTAAATGAAATTATCAAAAAATGTAAATGCAGATACTTGAAGAGGAGCAACATCGAACTTCCAGAGCTGTTAACACATTTGGGTGAAATTATGAAGGACAACAATGGAGAACATGTGAGCTATGAAGCTTTTGAAGACACAGAACAGGATTTATCAAAAGATCAACAACCCCACCCCAAAAAGGAGATGAAGACTCCAATCACTGATGCTGTTAAAGCTGCAGGTAAGATAAGAATCTTCTTCTGACAAAAATGAAATACACAGAATATACAACATCTATGATTCAATAATCAGCATTGCAATTTCTTATTTTCACACGATTTCCCAATAAATTAAAACTAATCAATCCTCAAGTTTCTGGAAAAACACCTTTGACCAACAGTAAGTAAAATGATGTCAGGGCTCATCCTGTTATCATTCTTTTGTCCTTTTTTGGTCTGAACATCAACAGTTTTAATTATGCTAGGATAGGCTCCAGTGCCCCTGCGAGGCTGAAAAGGATAAGAAGAAGAAAATGGATGAATAATATATATTAGTAGGCTTGTGCAGAACTTCAGTCAGCTGAGGTTGTTTAAACTTAATAATTTAACATTAAACTTTGACATTAAACAAACAGTTGTGCAAAAAGCTTAAATGTTTAACACATTTCCACACAATGACGAACTGTGTTGGTGTTTGGATTTTAATCTTTAAGTGTGACTCACATCACATCACATTTGACCAAGTCAATCGATGAGTGTCATGGTCCTGGGCCATGTGGGCCCAGTATTCGCAGTTTTGTGTGTTTTGTATTTCATTCCCTAGTCATGCCTTGGATTATTTAGTTAAGATGGTCCTTATTTGATTACCTTCTGTGTGCCCCTGTGTATCTGTGAGCCCTCGTCTCTCCTTGTGTTTATTTCTATGTTTTCCCAGCCCGTTATGTCTGTGTTCTCCCCGTGCTCTCTCTCCTCCTGTTTGAACCTCTGTACTTCCTGTTTTATTTTGACAGTCTCCCGTCAGTGTTGTTTACTCCTGCCATGTCTTGTTATGTTCATCTGTGTCAGCTGTGTTCCCATGTGTGGCCACTTCCCCTGATCATCCCTCTTGTGTATTTAGTCTCGGTGTTTCATGTAGTCTGTGTCGCGTCGTCTGTGTTACCACCCCCTGTGTTCCAGATCTCCAGCCATAGCTTTTCCTTAGTTTATGTCCAGTTTAGGTTTCTGTTTGAACTATTACTCTTATGCTGCCCTCACTCTGTTTTGTTCCTTTCATCAGCCAGAATAAAAGGCTCGCTTTTGTTTTACTCCACTCCTGCATCCTCGCTTGTGTTCGCTCCTGGGTCCACCACACACATTTCCGCACGGTCTGCCTCCGCAGACCGTGACAATGAGTATACTAAAGGTTCTCTGAGCATACCGAGGACTGAAGAGATCTCCTCGTACAAGCCAAGTGTTGTGATTTTAGATTAATTTGTGTTATTGTGTTCTCTTTGTTGTATTGCAGTCTCTGTATTCAGGATTGTGCTGCTGGGCAAAAGTGAGGATAAGAAGACAAGACTTGGTAACTTCATCATTGGGTACCAAGGATTTCACTGCCAAAGACAGTCACCAATAATGCACTGTGTGGCCTGCTGTAGAGAGTGGAGAGGAAAGCCATTAACAGTAGTGAAAACTCCAGACCTGCTCACTCTGCCTGTGGAGGACATGAGAAAAACAGTAAAGAGCTGTGTGAGTCTCTGTCCTCCTGGACCAAATGTTCTGCTGCTGTTGGTCAAACCTTCTGAACTCACTGAGGAGAAGAGAAAAACTCTGAAGTCCATCCTGAGTCTGTTTGGTCACAATGCCTTTAAACACTCAATGGTCGTCATCACACATGAGAATGAAATGAGTTTCTCTGTGAATGAAGTCCTCAGAGAATGTGGAGGAAGGCACTACAACATGTTTCACGATAACTATAGATTATTAATGGCGAAGATTCAGGAAATGACAAATCAATACAATCACCTGATCAAACCATCTTTAAACCTGGTTCTATTTGGGAGGAGACGAGCAGAGAAGACTTTAGCAGCCAAGGCCATTTTAGGTCAGACTGAGCTTCATTCAGCCTCCAACTCATCAGAGTGTGTTAAACATCAGGGAGAGGTGTGTGGACGTTGGGTTTCCCTGGTGGAGCTGCCTGCCCTGTATGGAAAACATCAGCAGGCAGTGATTAAGGAATCACTCAGGTGTATCTCCCTCTGTAATCCTGAGGGTGTCCATGCCTTCATCCTGGTACTACCTGTGGCTCCCGTCACTGATGAAGACAAGGGAGAGTTAGAGATCATCCAGGATGCATTCAGCTCTCGAGTCAATGACTTCACCATGATTCTGTTCACCGTGGACTCAGATCCTACAGATCCAGCTGTTGGTAACTTTGTAAAGAAAAACCAGGACATCCAGGAGCTCTGTGAGAGCTGTGGAGGAAGATCTTTTGTTCTTAACATCAAAGACAAACAGCAGATCCCACAGCTGTTGGAAACTGTGGAAAAAATCAGTGTCTACAGAGACAAATCATACTGCTACACAATGTACACATTTGGACAAGCCCAACTAGAGAAGATGTTACAACAAGAGAAATTCATCACCCAACTTGCACAGAACAGAAGCACTGCTGCTTGTAAGTACTTTCTTCTTCTTCTTTTTGAGATACATTTGTATCTAAACCTTTCCAAAAGTCGGTCACCAAGCGCTGTCAGAAAGAACAGGGTGACGTGAACGGCCGTCCTGTTATTGTGGTCGACACTCCTGGATTGTTTGACAACAGTTTAACACATGAACAGATCAATGAGGAGATGGTGAAATGCATCAGCCTCCTGGCTCCAGGACCACACGTCTTCCTGTTGGTGTTAGAGATTGGCAGACTCACCCCAGAGGAGAAGGAGACACTGGAACTGATCAGGAAAGGTTTTGGGAAGAATTCAGAAAAGTTCACCATCATTCTTTTAACAAAAGGAGATACGTTGGAACATACAAAGGTGTCTGTTGAAGAATACATTGAAAAATCAGAAGATTCCTTTAAGAAGCTGATCTCTGACTGCGGAGGAAGATACCATGTGTTCAATAACTTTGATAAGCAAAACCGCTCACAGGTCAGTGAGTTGATAACAAAGATTGACACCATGGTGAAGGACAATGGAGGACGCTGCTACACCAATGAGATGCTGGAAGAGGCTGAAGCTGCGATACAGAAAGAAGTAGAGAGAATCCTGAAGGAGAAGGAAGAAGAGATGAAGAGACTGAGAGAGGAGCTTGAAAGAAAACATGAGGAAGAAATGAAAACAATGACAAAAAGGATGGAAGAAGAGAAGAAAAAACTTCAGCAGGAAAGAGACCAGAAACTCAAGGAGATGGAGGAAAATATAAAGAAGGAGCGTGAGGAGAGGAAGAAAGAACAGGAAATGAGAGAAGAAGAGAACAGGAAATGGAAAAATGAGGAAGAATTATACAGACAGCATTTAAAAACACAACTTGAAACGTTGGACAAACAAATTCAGTCAGAAAAAGAGGAAAGGAAAAGTGTGAACAAAAAGCTGGAAGAGAACAGAGACGAGATGAAGAGAAAACAGGAAGCCTGGGAGAAAGAACGAAGAGAATGGTGGGAGAAACGAAGACAAGAAGATGAACACAGACAAGAAAACCAGCAAATAAAACTTGAAAACCTTGAAGAAATGTACAAGCAGGAAATAGAAAAACATGAAAAGAAGAGAAAGGAAGAAAATCAGAAGAGAAAAGAAGAGGAGGAAAAAGAACGAAATCAGCTGGAGGAAAACCATAAAACAAATGTGGAAAATCTGAAGAAGAAATATCAAGATGAGGCCAGAAAGAAAGCTGAAGAGTTCAATGATTTCAAAGTGAACAAAAACAAAGAGTTTGCAGCTCAGAAGGAGGTGCATGAGAAGAAGATTAAAGACAAAGATGAGAAGTATGACCTGTTAAAGGCTCTGGCTGAGCACACTGAAAAACAAAAGAGAGAAAAACATCAAGCAGAAATCAAAGATGTGATAAAATGTCTTTCCAAGAAGAAAGGGAACGTGAAAAAAATCCAAGAGTTGCTGACAAAACATGAGGATCAAATGAAGATTGCAAAACACCAGGATGAAAAAGAAAACCTGCAGAAAATCCATGAAACAGAAATGAGTGAACTAATACAAAAACTTCTGGAAGTTGAAACATCTTCCTGCAGCATTTCATAAGGGGATTTTTTTGTGTTTTTGTGACAGAGCTCGATGAATAAAAGATTTTCTGTACATTTAGTTAAATGTTGAGATGAGAATGCCAGTGTGTGTGCTGATGCTTATAGATCTGAATGTACTTAATTGAGCGCAACAGAATCCAGATTAAACTGCTTGTGATTTTCTAACTGATCAGATACAAATTCATAAATTTTATGGTCAATTTGTGAACATTTTACAGTCACAGACAGAATTCTTAATTGATCTTATAAATTCTTACTTTCAGGATTGCGTTCCATTTTGTTTCTTTTGAGAGTCATTGACATGTGTGGTATGAATTACTGCCATGTAACTCTTCAGGTTATAGAAAATTTTGAAGCAGTTTAATTTTTTGGCATATTTTATGTTGATTATTTTCATGTAGTACCATATTAAACAATAGAAGAAGCTTCAGCTGGTTATTAGATTTTTGGACATTTGTTGTAATTTTATAAATATTCAGTAGTAAATATATATGAATATCCTTTATGCTGTTCTTCTTGATGATTAAAAAAACTGTGGAAATTTATTTTTCCATGTGTTCCTGTTGTTCTATCTAGGCAATTGAAAATGATCATCCTTTCTATCCCTTATCTTTATAAAAGAAGTATTTGTCAGCCAAGAGAGGACGAGCATGATGCTGGAGGAATAAAGTCTCAACAAATAAAATGAGCTTTAAAGGCTGATAAACACTGAGTGTAATGACATAGTTATCTACCAGTTTGAGGTTGTCACAGCAGAGCATTTGTCTCTACACATGCAATGAAATGAAATGACCAAAAGCAACCAAAGATGTCCACTGTTTCAAATATGATTTAATATTTCTTTCAGGTAAACAAACTCAGAATTGACAAACTCCAAATGATTCAATCCATAACACAGCAGGTGAAAAATCTTTGGCTCTTTCTCTCCAACCCGTTCTCACTCCCAAAGCGTAACATTTTACGCTAGGTGACAAATCGTCACCATATTACGTTTTCGGCTACCCAACACGTTCCTAAATGACGACCTCGGAAAACAGAGGAAATATGAGAACCCTCTGGACTGAATCTACACATGTTCGCTCTTTTCCTTCAAATCGCTTAGAAACACGCTATTTAACATCATTAAAGTCCTGGTTAAGGTCAGGAATAAGGTTATGGTCAGGGCTAGGGATAAGGTTAGGTTTAGGGCTGGAATACAGGGCTGGAACGTCTACTACCGCGGGAGCGTCATTGCACTGGATTCCAGCCATAACCTGCCGCGTACCATAACAAATTACACTTGGCTCCATAATTATAAAGTCACATACACATGCAAATGCAAATTTTGTGTTTTTATTTAGTATTTCTTGTAGGTTAATAAAGCAGGAGAGTTTGTATCACATTTATATTGGTAAAAAAATATAGAACATCAATTGTTCGTTCTAAGATAATGAATATTAAATAAATATGTAATAAGGTAAGATTAATTACCTCCATAATACTACCTGTGTCATGAAAAGTACAGAATAATTAAGTAATCTGTACGATGGATGAATATGCAGTATTATATACTGTAACATTCTGACATTGATTTAACACACTAACACAGACCCATTTAGCTGCATTATGATGGACTTATGTAATACCACCTATCAAAGAAAATGAGAAAAACACATGAAGGTTGTGTGCACAATGCTGAGAAAAGACAAGTAGACCTCTGTTATCAAATCCGATTCTTTTATTCTTTTACTGGACAGAGAAAACACGACTCAGTGTGGTCAATTATTTATAATTATTTTATTCAATCATTACTTTCTGGAAAGGGATGTGCAGGAGGCTAAACCCTCTGCAGATCTGAAGCATTAAGCCGGGTGTGGATGATATATTCTTTTAATGTCACACATAGTTTCGAACAAAACAACTTCTTCTGGCCTGACTTGACGTGTGTGTGTTACTTAGTTCCACTTTTCTCTCTACATGTGTCATGTCCTCTGCACAGTTTCCTGTTTTTGCACAGTATTTCAGTCTTGCTCATCACTTGTGATCTTTCACACACTTTTTAACTGAAAAGTAGCGTCTTTAATCTGCTGACCTACATAAATGAATATAAACAGAAAATAAGCACTAAGAATATATATTTATTCTGTAACACTGTGTGGACATATGACCAAAAACCTGAAACCATGGTACCTGCTCTGCTAACTGAAGACAAAATCTTTTTTTACTTTTCTTTTTAATAAATAAAAATAAATAAAGAAAACACAATATATGGGAACACAATATGTGACCCTGAAAGACTAAACATCATTTTTAGGGATTTCTATGAAACTTCATATTCACCACAAATAAACCCATCTAAAAGTGAAATTGATCAGTTTCTTGACAATGTAACTCTTCCAAAATTACTAGACAGTCAAGCAATGGCACTGGATTCACCACTGATGCCAGGTGAACTCCAGGAAGCCCTGATAAGTATGCCCAATAATAAGGCTCCAGGTCCAGACGGCTTTCTGCAGAATTCTACAAAGAATTTTGGACAACTCTGGCATGAGTATTTCACAGAATGTTGAAGGAAATCGAGGAAAATGGCAGACTACCATCAAATATGAATTCTGCCAACATTAGTCTCCTGCTAAAACCAGGCAAAGACCCTTTATTTCCCTCAAGCTATCGTCCAATATCCCTTATAAATGTAGACCTTAAAACAATCTGCCAAACTCTCTCAAAGAGACTGGAGAAAATAACCCCCCTCTTAATTAATCCTGACCAAACTTGTTTTATAAAAGGTCGGCACTCATCAACAAATACAGTTATATTTTTGGTCTTGGTTATATCTTTAACTGTTGATTCAGGATTTTCCCATTACACCTTACATCTTCCATGGCATTCCTTAAAAATACCACTAGGTGGCCCCTGGGAGGCAAATCTGTAGAATAAATCCTGCAGTTGAATCGTAAACAAGTTCATGATCTGTGCCTCTTTATTTCAATACACAGCCGCGGGATCTAGGCTCGCACCCCTCCCAGGTACCTGTCACACCAGGGGGGCAACATACACAATTCCCCAACAGCTCGTATCAGAACAAATGACCAAACATCCTCCAGCTTCTGTCTCCTGAGGGGCACCAGGCAGGGATGCCCACTCTCCCCTTCACTGTTTGTAATTTTTATCGAACCACTAGCAGCAGCAATTAGACAGAATACAGTAATTAAGGGCATAAAATGCAAGAACGTGGAACATAAAATCAGCCTTTATGCAGATGCTGTGTTACTTTTTCTCCAAAACTCACAAACCAATGTCTCTGGGGTAATTGCATTGATAAATTCGTTTTCAAGAGTTTCAGATTACTCAATTAACTGGTCAAAATCTACAGTCCTTCCGATTAATTGCTCCTTCCATAATTCTTCTTCTACACCACTACAATCTGGAAATATTAAATATTTAGGTATTAATGTTTCTCCCAAGCTTGCAGATTTAACTAAATGACACCACATCCCACTTCTAAAGAAAGTGGAAGGCGATCTGGCTAGATGTAAATCTCTACCAATATCACTCATGGGAAGGGTCGCCGCTATAAAAATGATGACGGTACAGAGTATGTTTGGGGAGTATGATTGTGTGTCAGTGTCCCTTTGTGTCTCCAGGTTCGGTGAGTTGCGAGTATTTGTATATGTATGCATGAAAGTGGGAATGCCTGGGGCTCAGTCCACTTGGTCTACTCTGGCACAGCTGGCAGAGCCTTCGGGCACGTCACTACGGGGCCCTCAGGCTTCTGCTCCATGGCTGCTGGGTGACCCCTCATCTGGAGCCCTCCTCAGCTCTTCCCAGGAGGGTGGCACGGTTGCTCCTCCGATGGTCTTCCTTGGGCTCTCGTGCTCTAGGGGCCTCTGGATGTCTGGGGCCTGGATCTCCTCCATGCCTGCTTCATGTCTGTGGGACGGGGCTATGGCTCCCCACAACCTCTAGCAGACCATTACATGAAGGAACCTTTTGAATACAAGTGCGCTGATCCACACAGGTGTGAACACGGGTGTTCACAGACACAAACTACACCTTTCTTGGCTGCTACCTGAAAGCACATTGTGCGCTGTTGGTCTTGTGTGCTGCACAATAACATTCAGAATTTAGTATTTACTGTTATTTACACTTAGCTAGATTATTGTGATGGTGTTGTTTATTATGTTGCTCTCTTTGTTGCTTGTTTTTTTTCTCTTTTTCTTCTCTCAGCAGGTGATCCAGGAGATTGTTTTTTTTTTGTTTTGTTTTTTAAGTGCCCTTTCTCACTGTCCCTCTTCCCCTCTGTTTTTATTTCCCTCCCTCTCTTTCTTTCTCCCTTTCCTATCCCCCAGCCATGTATCTGTAACAACTGAAAATAAAATAAATAAATAATATTAACAAAGGTCAATCAAATGGACCAATATAGCAAGGCCTTGATGATCCACTTGATAAATAAATCCATTGGGCATCTTTCTTGGCCTTAAGACAATAGTTCTCATGGCTAAAGAACCAAAAGGGACAGGCAGCAAAAAAAAGAAAAAAAGAAAAAAAGACTCAAAATATGTAACATTTGACGTCTGATGTTTGATTCAAGATCAATACATTGATCTGAAATTCAATATGTATTTTAAAACTATGTCTCTTACAGCTTTTTTTGTGGTGACAACATATGAACAGAAGCTTTGCAGCCATGTGACCGTTTACCATGTCGTTTTAACTTGTTGGCTATTTTAGACATGTAATAATCCTGAAACAAAGTGAAACACCTACAAAATATTATGTAGATGAGATAAACTATGGCAACTTTGAGTAAAAAACAAGGATATATTCTCTCTCAGAGGAAATAAAAAAAATTCATGGCAAGCATTTTGCTCATTATGTGAGTTGACAGTGGATGTTATCTTGTGCCCTCCAACAGTGTTTACTGATGTTGTGAAGTGTAACCCTGGATTTCTCACTGACTTCAAACAACATGATTTATATCGTTATGTTAACAACAACTCCTGAATTTATACTGGAAAAGATCTGAAGACCTACAAAGGTTTGGATGCCTATAAATTTTTGTGTCAACATGGGTAACAAACCACAGTCACTGCTCAGGTACTTACCTGATTTTTGTTACATTTTGATATTGACACATCTCTGTGCGTCATCCCTTACATTATCAACAAGTTAACGTAGCTCATTTGTGATTAATGACAGTGATACCTAGGTGAGTTGTTGAGGATATCTGTAATTTTCCATCAGCAAGCGCTGCTTTTTTTGCCTCTGTTAGCTGCTGTTAGCTCCTGGTCCTGCTATTCGCTGTCATGGTCTGGGTGGGTACCTGCAGGTCTCCAACAGCGGCCCCTCCTCCTTTAGGCGGAGTTCGGTTGCTCCTCCCTGGCTGACCACCTGTGAGCAATTATTCCAGCAGTATATCAGACCTGCGCTCTCAACCGTTCATCGCCTGAGTATCTGCTATCCCCATGTTAGTCAAGTGGAGCATCATAACGCTGTCCAGAATCCGTGTGATGACTTACTTGTTCTCCTTGTTCTCAGAGGTAGCACCTGGAGTGGAGGTCTTGTCTCCCTCACTCCCGCCTTCCTGGACCTGGGCCGCTTGCTGCTAATACGACGTGGCCTGCCGGCCCACCACTCACTTGCCTGCCTCCCCACGTCTCGACCGCTTCCCGGCCTTCCGTCCCACCTGTCCCCTCCACCTGGAACCAATGCCCCGGCCCCTGCCTAGTCCTGTTTCCGCCTCCCCGCTGCCTCTGCTGTTCAGCCGTCTCCTAGAGGTGTCTAGGTCACCCTCCGTTATCTTAGATTATCCTACGCGCCACTAGTGTGGTGGCGTCGTTTTGTTTTTTGCTTGTGTTTGCCTGTGGGCGGAAATAAATCCTTTGTTCCTTATCGTCTCGCTTCCGGGTTGGTTTCTGCACCTGTGTCCATCTCTGTTCCCTCGTGCCGCTGGGCCGTGACATTCGCAGCTGTTACTGAAACTTTTTTTGAAGTGGATCTAAGGTTGGCAGACTTGAACTTAGCAAATAAACTGTTGATACAGAGGAAAAGAAGTTTAAAAGTTTGGGATGCTAGCATCTAATCTTACCTGGCAAAATGTTTTCTTTTTTTGTTGTTGTTTAGCCGTCTCTTCTCAGCATGTCTGATTTGCTGATCATAACCATTTGCAATAATATCAAGATTAAATTAAATATGTTCATGTAGGATTTATTATGTTAGAACCTTAACTTCAGTTCAGAAGTGAGGCTTAAGGTGAGGAGGAAGAGGATGAGATGAAGATGAGAAGGTGAGAGTAGTTGATGCTTCTCTGTCAACTAGATGAAGAAGATGAGAAAGAAAAAAGTAGAACGCAATAATGAAAAAAAAATGTAAAAAATGATTGTTTTAAAATTTTAAGTAACTTATAATTGTTATACTATTTATCTGATCCCTGTTAATCTGTTACTTGGGTTCTTTTCGTATTCTTTTGAAACAACAGGAAAGTGATTAAAAAAATATTATTTCCATCATGGATGATTGCTGCACCCAACCACACAGCAGAATGTAAGCATTGTGAGGAAAAAAAAAGTAGTGATAATTTCTATGTAAAGTATGTATGTCTAAGGAGCTTGGAAACAAGGCGACTGGACTTCTTTTCTTTCTTGAAGATGTTTCACTTCTCATTTGAGAGTTTTCTTCAGTTCTAAAACCAAATGGTGAAGAATTCCATGCATTTAAATCCCACTGGGAATTGTCCCTTAAGAAGGTCATAGACCCACTATTGTGCCTCATCACATGAGCCAAGGTGTGAAGAAAGGTGTGGGTCATTATCAGCAGAGGTTTTGGGTGAAACCATTGTGAGACCTTCCCTCACCCCATCATATGACCTATTGAGGTCACTTGACGCAAGATGTGAGTGGGGGTTTAGGGGTCTGGTAAGGATCTCAAAACTGGATTGTAGGTGGCAGATAGTTGGTATTGTAAGCCACCCCCTCTGTTCAAGGATGGTCGTTCACAGTGCACATAGGTGGAGCATTTTTGACCAAGAAGATGGGTGGTGTTAAAGAGGAGGCCTTCTAGTATTTCCACTGTGCCATGTCCACTCTGAATGACCATTGAGTGATTCTTTGAACTAGAGATTTAAACAATTAATTAATTAGCAAAGGACTACACTTCTCAGAAGTTGGACAATATTCTTTTTTTTTCTATTTTAGGCAAAATTTTATTGAGAAGGTGTGTACCAGAGGTGTGGACTCGAGTCACATGACTTGGACTCAAGTCAGACTCGAGTCATTAATTTTATGACTTTAGACTTGACTTGAAAAAATGTTCTAAGACTTGTGACTTGACTTGGACTTTTATACCAATGACTTGGGACTTGAATTGGACTTGAACCGGTTTACTTGAAAAGACTTGATATTTTACCCCAAATATAAAATTTAACATGCATATTATATAGAGATTGAAAATGTGACGTCATTCACGGGTAGAACCGCAAAGGATTCTGGGAACTCGTGGCAAGCGGTACTAGCGCACGCAGGCTTTCAATTAAAATCAGTTATACAGCGATAAAAAGAAACACAAAAATGTCAAGAAGCTGTTGTATTATTAACTGCAATAGCCGGTCGCATGACAGCCACGGGAAGCCGACGGGTAAAGAGATCGGTTGTTATCGGATTACGTCGTTGAAGAGAAATTGTTCGAGCCATGTTTCCGAAGTGACAAAGAGGCGACTGGATTGCAGCCATTCACAGACCAAATATAACGTCCCAGAACACTCCAGCTCACAGGTTAGTCTGCTCCAAGCATTTACACGAAGGTCAGTCTTCTGTTGTAGTTAATGCGTCATTTTCATAACATAATTAGTGATATAGGTTACAAGCAAGTCTGGCGCTGAACAGAAATGGTCGCGCTATGCTCCTTTGTTTATTGTGCATAAATAGTGAATTGTCCTGACACAATATTGCGTTTCACTTCTGTTATTATGGTACATTGACAAAAACACATACTTTTATTCACAGGATAAAACAGGTTTTTTGTATCACTAATTGCCCAGTACGATTACAGCATACAGTATTATTGTCACTGCTACATTTCTGTAATGAACCAGAAATCATTTCCACTGCTAATTAACTACCGTTGAGCTCAAAGGTCCTATTAATAAACGGTTAACGAATGTGTATTTATGAAGACGATTTGTGAGACTGGTAAACTTATGATACGTACGATGGTCTTTCGTTCTACATGGTGCATTTCAAGGTCCTGCACCCATCCGTCGGTAAACTGTACCTGGGCTTGTTGCAGTGACCTGAAGTTACTAAACTTCATGAGTGTGTGCACTCACTCCAAGAAGCGTATGATTATAAATATGCATATAAATATGCTACGATGAGATAGCTGACTTCATCTAACTAGCAAATGTTTTCCAGGCTACGTTGGTGATGCAGTTTTTTTTTAAATGATATTTATAAAAAAAAATCATTTATTTATGTATGATATTTTTGTCATGCGATTTTAAAGCCGGTCCTACAACCACATCCAAGAATAACATGCAGCTTATCTCAGAACTGTCGGTGAAAATTATTCTTGGAGCTAGGTTTAATTGAGCTGCATTTTAAAGAGGTGCAATTTCACAATTTGTGTATATTTTCTACGTTCACTATTTTGTCATGTGTTGAGAAAAACACAGATTTTAAAATTACATGGTCTAATATTTACATTTAGCATAACTGCAACATTATTTTTTCGTTTTTTTTTTTTTTTAAAGACTCGAAAGGACTTGAAATTCAAAATGTCAGACTTGTGACTTTACTTGGACTTTTACACCAGTGACTTGAGACTCGACTCGGACTTGCCTGACATTACTTGAGACTTGACTTGAGACTTGAGGATAAAGACTTGAGACTTACTTGAGACTTGCAAAACAATGACTTGGTCCCACCTCTGGTGTGTACATGCAGACAACTTGAAGTATATGATTTTGTATCTCATATGTGATGATCTTGTGATGATTTAAGGGCCACAGGCTAAACTGTTCATGTTGTCATAATAAAAGAAAGGTCATCTAAGTCTTACACCTTCCACATACCTGAGGGAAGTGACTGTGTCCATGCTGTGGGGTTATTTTGTCCAATCAGGTTCTTTACCCTCTCCTGACACACCTTCTTTCTTTTACATGCATGAACTCTGTTCTCAGTGAGTCAGTGATCCCTGCGAAGTTTGAACTTTCCTTCTGAGTGTGGAGGTAAATAATAAACTGGCAAGGTAATAACAGTGGATTGCATTTATATGGCGCTTTTCAAGGAACCCAAAGCGCTTTACAATTCCACTATTCATTCTCACACTGGTGGAGGCAGCTATTGTAGCGACAGTCATGATCCCTGGGACAGAAGCGAGGCTGCCATATCGCACCATCGGCCCCTCTGGCCAACACCAGTAGGCGGTAGGGTAAAGTGTCTTGCCCAAGGACACAACGACCAGGACAGAGAGCCCAGGGATCGAACCGGCAACCTTCCGGTTACAGATGTGCTTCCCAAGCCCCCTGAGCCACGGTCGCCCAATGTCAGGTAGGCAGACTCAACCGAAAATGCATTGAAAGAAAAATGACTTTGTCAGAATGACACGACAGTCATGATCCCTTCTTTAATGTTAAGTTTTTGATGATTTTGTTTGCTTACATAATTCTGTGCTTGTGCTATCAGCGGTGTTTCAAATATTTTCATAATATATAACAGAAAATATTGCTCAGTTGTAAGGACAAAACCACAAAGTCTAACACAAAAGAAACGGATTTGTAGGTTTATAAGGGAAAGTTTTATTGTGATTATTGTGCTACATATTTAAACTATGATTATGTTATATTATTCTGAAAGCTTCAACCCTTCAATCCTCTAGTGCAGGGGTGTCAAACTCCAGTCCTCGATGGGCGGTGTCCTAAACTTCTCCATGTGTCCCTGCTGCAGCACACCTGAATAACATCAGTAGGTCATTAGCAAGACTATAGAACTTGACTGCATGCTGAGGTAGCAGTTCAACCATTTGATTCATGTTACAGCAGCTCGTGAGTGAATATGGTGCAATAAAAGTACTTTTGGAAGTACCTTTTTCCAAGCTCTCACATTTATTTAAATTTACTTGAGTAGGGTTAGGGGTTCCCACCTCAGCATGCAGACAAGTTCTACAGAGTCTTGCTAATGACCTACTAATGAATCAGTTTGATATGATCAATAATTTCACTGTTCCAAAGTCTAAAGTATTTATAAAGATGTATTGTGATCAGAACCAAGTGGTACAAATTACATGTAACCACAGTTTCTCTACTTGAAGCTGCTGACTTTGATGGGCCCACAGAATATGTTGAAATCTTTGTGGTAAAATGGAAAAAAGAAACTTCCCCTTCTTCTAGGGGCCTCTACCACAGCACCTTGGATTTAAGCACTGAACCTTGTATCATACTTAAATTACTAAAGGATTTTAAATCTAGATCGTGTGGATCTCTGGCTATATTATGAGTAAATAATTGACGATAACAACAGTTTTTATACGATACGTCAGTATCACAATAAAAAAGGTGAACTGCAGGTTAAAGGTTGGCTTTATGGAACAATGACTTGCTGTTTGGACAACTGGAATTTAGTTTTACACTTTACTATGTTTAAGTTTTTTTGAGTGTTGGCTTTGTCTTTGCCTGCTTTAGTACTTGCTTTTTCCAGCAGTGACATTATTGATATTGACAGAATTTCTTTCCCA